TTGGAAATTAGAGATGCATTACCTTTTAATTCAGTGCCACTACTAGAAAGCTGTCCTGTAGGGAGAAATGTTCAAAAGAACACATACAAAGACGTGTATTTTTTGGTATACTTTGTAAAGGAAAGGGAAAAACTTTTTAAAGGTCTGGGATTGAATGAATTTCTGTACACTGGCTATGCAAGCAGTAAATAAGAATGAGGTACATGTTCTCAGGTATGAGGTGAAGTGAGACCATTGCTACACTTGATTTCTAAGTGAAAACAAGGCACCAACCAATCATGGTGTTTAAAAGCAATCTGGATGCAACCGGCTACTCCGCTCTCTGGTCATTCGGACCATTCAGAACTGGACAGTGATGAGAAACAAAGAAGTGCACTTACATCTGTGAGAAGCAACTGGAGACACACTTCCGGAGGCAATGGGACACCTGAGCCGGAGACAGTAAAACTGCTTTAGAGTAGGTGTCGATTTCTCACTTTGTGGAAAGCATTGTAAAAAACAAGTAACTTACAGGCAGATTTGAAGTTTTCTGCTTTACATACAGGGTCATGACATTTTTGATACCAAATTTCATTTTTCAGATCAACCAGGATCCTTTAGATTAAAAAAAAAAGTATTAATACCTGGAATGGATTTTTAAAAATCCAGCTATATGTTCCTTACTGAAGATATGCACAAGGCTTAAAAAATAGAGAAAAGTATGAAAATAGATATAATGCTAAACCTAAAGAAACAAATGCTGTGGCACCCAAAAATACCACACAAAATTAACACTAGGGCAAAATGTGTATGACTGAAGAAAGTTCCCCAGGAATATATTACAATTCTTCATCTATATCCAGCAAATGATACAGCTTCACAATATGTAAGAGCAACAAATGGACAAAGTATAAACAAGTAAATTTTTTTTTTTAAAAACAATTCAATAATAGATGCAAAATCAAGGATTTCGGAAATTTCCGTGACAATTGCACATTGCTTAATTGTGCTCCTGTGGAAACATGAGACTGTTAATGGAACGAGCAAACGGATACCGCATGGTTTAAAATCGGGCAGTTGTGTGTCAGGGTTGTAGTCCACCATCCTTACTCAACCCAAATGCTGGGCAGACGAAGCTGGGCAAGATGCCCGTGGCATCACGATTAGAGGAAGGCTCATTAACAATCCTTAGTATGCAGATGCCACAGCTTTGCTGAAAGGGAGAAGGACTTGAAGCACCTGCTGATAAAGATCAAAGACTACAGCCTTTATTCTGTTTTACAACTCAGTGTAAAAACAAATCTTCACAACTGGGCTCTGGGACAGTGTGATAAAGGGAGACAAGATTGATGTCAAAGATTTCATTTTCGAACCACATTTGAGGGCTAAGGTGTGCCCGACTCAAGCCATGGTATTACCCATTGCTTCAGATGGATGTGAGAGAGTGACTAAGACCCCCCCCACACACACACACAAATCCTACCAGACAGGTACATAGAACGGCACAGACGAGAGCTTTCAATATACAGAATTCAGGAGAGACAAACTTCAGAATCAGTAATGGGAATAACGATTCCAGGAAGGGGGGGATGGGAGAGGGGAGGGGGAACGGACAGCAAAGATGGCAGATTAACCCCTCTCAAGGGATGAATACCAGGATAGTAGGTGAAGGGATGGGATGGGAGGTGTAAGATATGTATAAATAACAATACATCATAAGGCTTCACGGGTGGCAGGGTGGGGGAAGGAAGGGGGAAAATCTGCTATCAAAGGGCTTAAGAAGTCAGTATTTAGAAATTGTTGATGCCAACAATTGTACCTGTCCACTTGATATAATAGATGTATGGATTGTTATATGTAAGAGCCCTCAATAAAAAGATTTATTAATTTTAAAAAATCACTAAGAAAGACCAAAGAAGAACTGAGCTTTTAAATTATGGTGTTCAGAACTATTTAGAGTACTGTGGATTGTCAGAAGTACAAACAATTTGTCTTGGAAGAAGTGACGATGTGGAGACTCATCTTACGTAGTTTGGACATCATACAATGAAAAGGATAGCACACTTGATAAAGAAGAGGGTCCGGGAAGAAGAGGAAGACCCTTGATGAGATGGATTAAAACCGACTCCATGCTACCCTGTTTCCCCGAAAGTAAGACATCCCCCGAAAATAAGACCTACTTACAGTTTTGCCTC